TTTTTTTTTTTTTTTCATCGTGTATGTAGTAAAGGACAGATTTTATCACCTCCGCCGTCATCGTCATCATCAACACCAGCGTCATGTTTGCAGACGAAGACGACCATGGCAGCGGTGACGACAACTCCGAAGAATTCTAATTGAGTATTACGGCCCTGCAGGAGCTTATTTGGTGGGCGTTCAGCACTGCACCGGCATTGAAAGCGCAATGATCTGTTAGTTCGGAAAAATATTAGGCTGCAACGTTTTGTTCACATTTTTAAATTTCTTCACTTTTTTAATTGCATTATCGACATTGTCACGATTTCCAATGCGTAAATGGTGTGTTAGTGTTGACCCGGCACTGGTTGCTGCTTCTTTAACTTGACAGGATTTGGACATTTCGTGTTCATCATCATCTCTACTTGTCCGATCTTCGAAATTGTGCGGTGTTCCCTTTTTTTATTGTCTTATTTTCTACATTACTGCTTTATTTTTTTTCCGTTTCGTACGAGTGTATGTGTACTGAGCAATTCGATTTCAGCAACAGCAGTAACGGTGATGTTACTACATTATTGCTTGATGACTGTTTTGCTTCTTGAGACGTTGTCTGTTAATTTACTTTTTTTTTTCATTTTTTGCTTCTTTTCTGTCTGTAATGATAAATATCTGTCTTGCTAACTTATTATTTGCTTCTTCTGGTATATCTTTCTAAAAGAGATGAACTATATCTTGGAGTACCTTCAGTAGAATCGATATTTACAGGAAATTTGCGAGAACTTATCGCCTGTTCCACTTTTTTCTCACTTTATTTCGTTTAGTTTTGTCAATTTTGTGTTTAACAGGTTTAACGATCGCTTGATAGTTAAACTTCATGTTTTTTTTTAATCGACTGGGAATTGAGGTGGCTGGTGTTGAAGCAAATCTGTAGTACTGCGCAACTTTTGGAGGCTTATTTTTTTAAGAGTTTTGCTTGATACATTACCTAGGTGTTTTTATGTTAACGGTTAGCTATAGTTTTATTCTGCTATTAACTACTTGATGTCTCGTTTCTTTGAACTTTCTTAAGTTTAATTCATAGTTAGAGTTTATGAAAGTATATAATGCTTTTTTTTTGCAGTGACGGTTTATACCTTTTTTTAATGGGTCTTTACATATTTGTGGTCTAATCTAACTATATTCTTATTGGAAAAAAATTGCTGTTTTTAGGTGTGGCTTTTAACGGTTGCAGAAGGTCAACGTTATACTGCATAACATTTTTAGAAAGGTTATGCAGTAGCTGTATTGGTGACATTCCCGTTCTTGCGTTGTTTTTGGCTCACTAAACGGCTTGGTGTAAAAGGTTATCATTTTGCACACCTGTTTTGTAGAATTTAATATAAGTAGTGAAAACTTGTTAGAAACACTTAAATTAATTTTTCCTGCTACTTCTTCCGACTGGAAAAAAAATAAATATTTTTAGCGTAGGAATGGTGAGTGTTTTGTTTCTTAACTGATGCTGCGGTGTTAGCATCTTAAATGCTTTCAGTGGGGTGAAAGGTAAAATGCTTGCATGGTGCAGGAAAAAACTACACTTTTTGCTTTTGGTTTTTGTTCAGACTATTTGTTTTATATGTTTTTTTTTTTTGTTTGTTTGTTTTTGTCTTGCTACTCCTATAGTTTTCTTCCTATCGTTTTTTGGTACTTCACTTGTTAGCAAAGTAGTAAGATTGTAAATTTGGTTTGGCATCCATTTTTACTTTTCTTAAGCGCTAAAGTTTCTTAATTTTAGCAGTTTTTTGAAACGCGCCGGTGGTGTTTTACGATTATTTTCACTCTTTATTCTAAACTGGTGCTGTAAGGTCAGATATCAAGAGCGTACCAATGTATGGTTTGTATTCATTGTACTTTTTTTTTTTCTGGTATTCCGGCCAAGGTGTTTTCTACCAGTTTATTTGATTCTGTTTTTTTCCCGGATTTCAAGGGGTAAAGTGAAGGTTTTGAATTTTTGTAAAGGTTCAGTACCAGAATAAAATCTGATTGGTGTCAGGGCGTGGAGCACGTTTCAGTGAAAATGATCAAGTATATCATGGCATATTCAACATTGGTTAGTTAGACTTGATTTTTGGTATATTGCGCGATTGGGCGATATGATCTTTCTGAAGTCCTGGTTAACTTTGCGATTTATTAGTTCAGGCGTATCCGCATCAATCTCACGAACACTATTTATTTTGCGCTGAGGGTTTTTGATGTAGTAAATTTTCGTCACTTTTAGTTATGAGGTATTATGTTAATTTCGCCTCTTTAGTTATTGTTCCGTTCATCTCTTGCTTACAGATTCTACAGTTAATTGGATTGGGCTTCTAAAATTTTAAAACATTTTTATTCTATTGTGTTAAAGTAGTAAAGGGTGGCTTGAATAAGGGAACGAGCAGTTTTTCTTATCTTTTTTTTTTTTTTAATTTCTCTTTACATTTTTGATTGGAAATCGGACAGTCAACTTTTTTTTGGTTTTTTTCTTTTTTTATTAAGAAGACTGATAGGTTGGAAGGGTGCGTGGAACACATTCTACAAATTTATTTTCTGTCTATTCTGGTAAATAATATGAACGCATTGAAAGGAGTTTGAGTCACATAAAATCTTTTTTTTTTTAAATTTCTTTGTTATTGAAAATTAGCATTATTTTCTTCCTGTATTTTGTGCTCAAGGGTTTCGCTGACCGAAGTTGCTGAATCAAAAAATTAGTACAGTACTGCTTGAAAATAATTTGCTTCTCTGTTTAGTCTTCATAACAAGAGTCACAGCGTTTTTCAGCTATTTCAGCTACCTCATTTTGCTGTTTTTGTTTATGGTTTCTCGGAAGTTATTAGTTTGTAAATTGTTAAAGGGCAGGATTTCAAGGAAAAACAGTATTTGCCGTCCAAAAAAAATGTAGACTTTTGCAATTAGATGCTTTTTTTTATTTTTTTTATCGTGACTTAGCTTTGTTTCTACTTTTTGGAGGACTAGAATTTATGCAAATGCGTGAAATTGAGTTTCCTCAGACTGTTGAATTTTTTTAATTTTTTTCATTCTCCTAACTCTATCTTCTCAGGTCAAGTCGCACAGCATCTATTGTCCTCTCGTTGTGTGTTTATTTTTTCTTTAAGGCGTTTGTAAGCTGGAAACAGTTTTGTTTGCGTAGCATAGCAGCCTCTTTCTTGAACATTTGGCTAAGACATAATAACGGCAGCTGGAATTTGTGAAGTGTTTTAGTTTTTTTGTCTGGTCACAATGATTGACTTTAATACGGAGCTCAGCCTATTCTGTGCAGAGCTTGTGTTTTTAAAAGGTGAAATACATAGCTCCTTCTTGCATCCAACATTAACTTCTCTACCGTATGCAGTTTTCAAATACTTCAATTTCAGTGGTAGCTTTGAAAGTTTTCAAAGTTTTGAACTTATTTTTGAAGAAAGGAGAAAGTGAATCAGGAATTACTGTCTTGCGCTAGATGGTGGTTTTCAGTCAGTTTGAATATACATGCACACTGTCAAAATGAGAGATTTGGCATAATATCTGTAGGTTTGATTTTCTTCCAAAAGGCAATGTTTATTCGAAAGTGCTTTGTCGAGAGGGTAAATTTTTTATTTAGGTACTGCCGGAAATATTTGGACTTGTTTAGGAAACTAGTGTTTTACATGTGTATTGTCTATCTTCCGCATTTCTTAGCCGTGTTGTTTTTAGAGAAATTTCTTTTGTATAGTGTTGTAAGAACCTGTTCTTGTTGAGGGAAGAACCAAAACCGCTTGCAAATATTTTGTATTGGATTTTGTTTCGTTAAGATCATTCATTAACTTCTTTAACAGTTGTAAAATTTTTAGTATTCAGTAGTATTTTCGTTCAGGTTTCTGTTTATATTCATTAAGAGTTTTTACTGGTATAACAACTTTATACATTTTCGCTATATTAAATTTTGCTTTTCCTTCAGCCGTATTTCCTCAGTACTTTCTAAGGGAGTTTGTTGAACTACCTCCAGAACATAGTTTAGTGATATCATTGGGTTTCTTGCTTCGTTTGGATCACCATTATCTATCTTTAGCGTTGCCATTTTTGTAAGGAAACTTCTCGAGTGTTGATTTGTATCTAGATGAATGTCTTGGTTAGTTTTCATCAGTATTTCAGACAAATCTTTTAAAGTTATATTTGTTCTTTACAACGGTTGCAGACTTAAGTTAATTCATACCGATGTTTCTGCAATAATGAGCATTATAACATATGCTTCATGTTTTCTAGTTAGCTTAGAGACTGGAGCTACTCATTGCAGTTAGAGGATAAGATGAATCATGGTTATCAGATATTTTTAAACCTGGTGTTATTAAAGAGCTCTAGAAGTTTCATGTATACTTGTGTCGTGTATTTTTTTAATTCGGTCGGATTTCCAGTTGACATGGAGCTAAGGGTTGGCGGTCGATATCGATTAGGCCGAAAGATTGGCAGCGGGTCTTTTGGTGACATATATCTAGGTTGGTAACTTCGCAGAACTTATTTGAATGATAAGTTGGCTCTAACAGATTAGTGAGTATGTACATTTGAACGGTTTGCAATTCAGGACAAAATATTTCAACACAAGAGGAAGTCGCTATAAAGTTAGAATGTGTGAAGACAAAACACCCGCAACTTCATATTGAATCAAGATTGTACAAAATGATGGCTGGTGGTGTTGGCATACCCCAGGTGGGTGTAATTGCAGTGTAGAACCTGGTACGAGAAGGAGTTTAGTTTTTCATTTGATAGAACTTTTTAACTTGGAAATTGAAATAGAATTGTTTTATATAATTGTATCTCTCAGTTAAAAGGTTTAATTTTAGATCAAATGGTGTGGATACGAAGGAGAGTACAACGTTATGGTCATGGAATTGTTAGGACCATCTTTGGAAGATTTATTCAATTTTTGTTCTCGAAAGTTTACGCTTAAGACTGTTTTGCTGTTGGCTGACC